TGAGCTATAGGCGCCGAGCCAGAAGGCAACATCTTGTTAAGCTCCACCAGGGAGCTTTGGACTCTCCTATCCGTGTGTGGGCAGGTTAGTAAACCAGCTCCTGTGTTACTGGATTCAGAAGAACTAAATAAAAGATAATGTGAAGTATCATCTAGTAAAGGCAGGTGCAGTGCTATGTACCTGCAGTCCCAGGTTCTAGGACCGATGAGGCAGTAAAACTGCTTGAGCCCAGGAGTTTGCTTTTTTTTTTTTTTTTTTTTTTTTGCAGTTTTTGGCAGGGTTGGAACCCACCACCTTCAGTATATGGGGCCACCACCCTACTCCACAGGCGCTGCCCAACCCAGGAGTTCTCTTTTTGAAGAGAAAGTGCCTGTGATCATACAATAGGAACTGCACTGCAGCCCTGGGTGACATAAGGGGACCTTGTCTCAAGAAAGAAAGGAAGGAAGAGGAAGAGAAAGAGAGAGGGGAAGGGAAGGAAAGGGAAGGGCAGGAGGAGGAGGGGAAGGAAGGAAGGAAAGAAGGAAGGATCATTTAAATCACTTGGTAGAATGTGTTATGTTGTCAGCTATTCCAAGTTAGTGAAGATACGGTGTATTATTTAGCATACGTAAGACACATATTAACATATTATTTAATAATCCACTAATGACTTAGGAAAAATAATGTATTGCTATCTCAAATCAAAATATACAGAGGGTGCCAAAAATATATACACATTTTAAGAAAGGAGAAATACTATTAAAATTGTAATACTCAATATACACTGATAATGTTTATTATCTAATATATTGTACCTTGTATCTCTTGTAATTGCAGAAGCCAAACGTGACCTGAGTATTACAATTTTAATAGTCTTTTTCTTTCTTAAAATGTGCAAACATTTTTGGCACCCTCTGTGTCTTAGGAAAAGTGAACATACAAACATTTTTAAAATATTAAGAAGCATAGAAGCGCTAGAATTGATCATTCTTAAGTACAGTACTAACGACAGAGATACGAAAGTTTAAAACATTTATAATTAAAAGTACACTATACAATGTAAAAAAGAAACAAATTGACACTAAAATGGTTGCCATCCTTATGTATGAGAAAATCTACAAAATTATTAGGAAGCAACCCTTGGTTAAGATGAAGCTGTGGGAGACTTGTCACACACACGCATATACCCACACATGCATGCAAACTTGCTGCTCCAAACATACAGCCATATTTGATAAAAAGAATTTTAAGTATAATGAAAAAGATACCGCCTTAATAATTTCATAAAAAGAAAGGTAAAATGTCGTCGTAGCTCCAAAACAGGACCAAATACCAAAATAGCAAGGAGGACTCATGTCTGCCAGACTCTGGTACTGGGTGTAGAAAGAGAAGAGCCAGCTGAAGTGACATTGCTGTGGGAAACTGGAAAGTCAAGGTGACCCACATAGGCCGAGGGGCAGCGTTAGGCTCTCTAGTTGGTAACTGCAACAAGGTTGGGGCTCTCCTTTGCACAAAGAATTAAAGAAAAAATAGCTGCTCCCACTATACAGGCTATTGATGACAGAGTTTCTGAATGAAGAAACAAATATAAAACAGAGAGGATCCCCTTCCAGTTTCTGGAATTAAATAAACATAGTCATAATCTAAAAGAGGACAGACTCTTCAAACGTTGGAGATAATCTGGAGACTGGAAGGGTGTAGGGCTGAAAACGTCAGAGTTGGAAGGAGTCAACCTCAAAAATGTTATAGGGAGAGGTAAACATTCAAATATGAGGGAAAAATAAAAGAGAAATGTCCTAATTGAGATACGTCCGCAAGTTACACTTCCACTATACATGAAGGAAATTCATAAATATAAATTTCAAGAAAATAAATTAGATTAATTTATCCTGATAAAAAGAAAATGGAGCAATTCAATGATGAGTTGAAAATAAATGTGTTATGGTCCTTGGGGAGAAAAATGCAAAAGAAAAGAAGGAGAAGATAAGAAATAAATTCATGGCTCAGCACCTATAGCTCAACCGGCTAAGGCACCAGCCACGTACACCTAAGGTGGCGGGTTCGAATCCCCAGCCCGGACCGCCAAACAACAATGACGGCTGCAACCAAAAAATAGCCGGGCATTGTGGCGGGCGCCTGTGGTCCCAGCTACTTGGGAGGCGGAGGCAGGAGACTCGCTTGAGCCCAGGAGTTGGAGGTTGCTGTGAGCTGTAATGCCACGGCACTCTACCCAGGGGGACAGCTTGAGGCTCTGTCTCAAAAAAAAAAAAAAAGAAAGAAAGAAAAGAAAGAAATTCATATAAAATGTAGAATTGATACGGTTCGTCGTTGAAAACAGAATGTACTGGGATAAACTTTAAATGGAATTCAAAGAAAAATCATCAAAATGGAGCGTAGCAATAATGGATTCACCAAGAAAACACCTCAGAGAGTGAAAGCAATTAAAAGTTAAGTGAAACAGCATTTAAAGTATTTTAATTAAAGGCATCGTGAACATACTTTATTCAGCATTCCAAAAGTATACAACAAAGGGAACTGCAAAGTCACAATATTCAAAAATATAGTACTGAGAATATTTCACAAGGATGTGAAATATTGAAAATCCATAATAAAGAACCACAAAGATGACCAAACTGGAAAGAGCTTCCTCCAGAAACAATGGCTCAGATTGAGAGCAGACGTGTCACTAGCAACAAAACGGGAAGAAATGAGTCGTATATTCAAAGCAGTGAGTTAAATACAATAGCTGTCGACCTAAAGTTCTTTACCTGGCTATGGGATTATTTCCAGTCAATAAAAAATGAACATATTTTAGGCATCCCATCTAAAAGGCTTTATACTTCACAGGAACTGAGTTTTTTCTCTCTCTGGAATGATTTAGCTCTTTCAGTTAAAGAGAATCTCAGGGAATTCCACTGACCAGTGTCAGGGCCCGGGACTGGCCAGGTCTCAGGCCCGGCTTAGGTAGGTTCTGGACACGGACCACTAAGCTACCTTACTCAGGAACAGTTTCTCGTAGGTGCTTGAGGGCTAGCTACTTTAGCTGGAGAAAGAGAGAGAGAGACAGAGTACCTTAGAGAGAGTAAAGGTCTTCTTCGAACAGATAGCTCTTAGTCTTTAGCAGAGCTTGGTAATCTTCAGCAGAGAGACGCCATGTTGGCATTCCGCAGGCAAGAGAGGAGTCAGAGTAAGTGGATCCGTGATAGACTGCGCATGCTCCCGACTGCCTGCTCCTCCAGCCTGATAGAAGGCTGAGCTCGTGCCTCTCAGCACCACAGGTGTAGAGACTGCCAATTCACCAATGCTCTCATCTCGCGAGCTCTCTCATGCTTGTTAGAAC